TTTGAGAGCATATCGGCCAAGAGCCATCATCAGTAGTTTGTTAATAGGTTACGTACTTCAAACAAGTATGACTTGGTTATCCACTTAGGGGAAGTTAAGCCGTTAATCAATTTTTCACCAGTTGTAGTCTTCGATGTGCTGAGTCGAATGGTCTTGGTCCGAGGAAGCTGAGACTCCCTTCCTTCTTTACTCCCAATCGAACTCGCCACTTCCACCAAAACTGGGTGACTGCGCCCTACTGGATGGCTATTTGGAGGCAAAATGTCACTAAAAGCGCCATTTTGTCCTTATAAAAGCACAGATGAGCGCGATTGGCTCATATGTTGTAGTCTTTTCAACACTGAGTCGACTGGTTTTGGTCCGAGAAGGCTGCGATGCAGAGTTCGGCCCTTATTCCCACTCGAACATGGTTGAATATGCGGTCATGTGCTCATGCAAACCCCAGTCACCTGGCCACCGTGCCTGCAGGGTACAGCTAACAGCCTGCTTGGGTGCGTTCATGTCACTCGAGTTGAACTCGAGTTGAACCTTGGTGTGAAAGTTGTAGCATACCGGCACGGTGACCAGGTGACTTGTGCACGCATGAGGACGTGACCGCTTAATCAATATGTTCGATTGGAGATACGGGCCGAACGCTGCATCGCAGCTTTCTCCAACCAGAACCTCTTGACTCAGCGTCCGAAAGACTACAGCATATGGGCCAATCGGGGTCATCCGTGCTTCTATAAGAATGAAATGGCGCTTTTACAAATCTCCATCTCAGTGACTGGGACGCAGTCACCCAGTTTCGGTGGAAGTAGCGAGTTCGAAAGGGAATAAAGGAGGGAGGGAGCGTCTCAGCTTCCTCGGACCGAGATCATTCGCCTGAGCATCTCGAAGACTACAACTGGTGAAAATTTGATTTTAGGCTTAACTACCCCTTTAAGGTTTGTTTTGAACCAACTAAATCAAAAACATTTCAAGCACACAACTCCTTGCAATATGAATACTAGTATTCATGCAATTTCTGACTGTCATGTATATTGTACAAATCACTGGGTTTTGTTTGCAACGGAAGTTGTCATTTGCTGTTTACGGGTTTTTAGTACTTATTTTCAATGGGAGATCAAAGCGCTATCCGTATTTGCCAGTATTTATCACACGTGAACAAAACAAGGACGTTTTTAGACCCTCCTCCAAAGCGTGCACACATGCATGTAGTGAGTGAACCGTTCGCCTCAGTTGTATGTGCACACTGCTCTGCACATTTGTGCACTCTGCTTTCAGGTGCCTTGACCGGCCTTGTTAGCACATGTAGTGAAGTCAGAACGATTCCTTTGAGAGATGATTAACATTCACGTGGACTATAGTGTAAGAGTAAGAAATGGGATGAGTAGGGTGGGTCAGAGTTTGAAAGCTGTCTGCACGCAAGGGAACTGAAAAAGACAGCAAACTCTGTTGTTCGCACAGGAAATCTGCGCACACGCAGATCATGCGGGCATGTGATGTCGATGATACAAAGGAGTATGTAAGAGAGCAAGATCGTGCACGCACATAAAGAGGGCCATGCGACCCGTTATAAAGAGCCAATAGCTGAGTGATGGTACGTGACTATTAATAAATAATAAATTCGACGGGTTTGCGTACCGGGCAGGTCAAGAACAAGGAGTCGTACAACTCCCTGGTCAAGAACCACCTTTCCTCTTGCGTGGGACGCTACCACCCCATGATCAGGCGACAGATGCGGACGTGACTATTAACAACAGTTTAACTCATACGTAATTCATACGTTAACCGAACATTATTAAAATGCTGGTATACTTTGTAAGTGTTCTTGGAAAAAAAAAGTAGAAATCACTGTATCCACTCCCACCCCCAACATATGTTTTGTACCATCATGAGGATTTGTGACAGTTACCGTAAAGTCGCGGATAAAAGCCGGGTTTACATACAAGCACATCGCGGATAGAAGCCTGAAAATCAAACGGGTAAAATACATATAAGCCTGTCGCGCGTAGAAGCCTGGATTCTATGCAAGCGCGGATCGGGTAGGTCAAGAGTGCGTGCGCTGTGTACGGTGCATAGTAAAACTGCCGCCATACCGATAGTCAGTGGTAGATCTATGCGTGTCGCGCGTAGAAGCCTGGCATACTAGCCTGGCAAAAATATCAGTGGTGCATATAAGCATGGTTTGCATACAAGCCTGGTTTGCATTAAAGCCTGATGCAGAAAGCAGCTTATATGCTTATAAGCCCGGCTTTTATCCGCGACTTTACGGTATGTACGGGTATGTTGATACTCTTTTTATGCTGACACTTCACATTGTTTGCTGGCTATCACAGGCAAGCATGGACTACCTGACAGTCTTCAAGTACTGGAAATCACCAACACAGATCATGGAGTTTGTCCACCAACCAGTGCAATGCTAACTGATAGCCGAGTAGCAAGGTAAGATCAAGTTCAGCTGAAACTGAACCAGCTGATTACACTCGTGTGATGTATTTTCACCACTCGTGTATTTGATTGTCACCAACAGTACGGCTAGGATTTAACTGAGCACAGCATACCAATGTTTGCACGGAGACTCAACTGCCGTCATACGTCGTAAAGCATGACAATAATCACAGTCTAGGCTAGGAGGCTGCCCCCCCCCCCGTCTCTCCAGTTCTTTGGCGACCCGGGACAGTACTGTAGCACTTTCCACCCAAAGACCATAGTTTGCTATAATATTATGTCATGTGAAAATATGTTGCTATGACAATACCCACTTATTCAGGGATATTTTGAGTCATGTATTCAGTAAAGTAGAAGAAATCACATGGAAACGAGTTACGAAGTTATTATCCACGAATGTAACAAGATAGTAAGCAGTCAGAAAGTGCAATAACAGGGCACAAATCTGACATGTTACTGAGACATTCAACGACTTGAGACCTAGCTGTCACACACCTCCAGTGTGCAAACCAACAGCCTTCCAGCTTGGTAGGTTCAAGGTTATGCTAGGATCAATAAGGGGAAGGTGAGCACTGAGAAAATGTGCACAAGCTAAGTCCCACGGCAACAGAGAATGCCGACTGCTACAGGACCATGACGGGACTAGGTAATAACATGACAATGCGGTCTAACTACAATCGAAGCAGCAAACCAACACACCACCCAACTTGGGTGGGTCAGCAATATCAGAGATAAAGAAAGGGGGAAGATTTGCGAAAACTAATTGTACAAAACCGGATGCCAATATCTAACGGTATTCCTCATGCATGACAGTATTGTGTATCGGAGTTGACTTGGTTTGCACACTGTAGGTGTGTGAGAGCTAGGTGTTAGGTCGTTGAATGTCACGGTAACATGTCAGTTTTGTGTCCTGTTACCGCACTTTCTGACTTCTTATTGGAGAGGTTCCGGTGTACGATTTTCGTGCCAAAATCCGTAGAGGCGCTACGGATTTTTATAAGTCATTTCCAAGCAGTGAAATGTTCCGGAGTACGGAACTTATGTCTTTGTCGTCATTGCCCAGGTTACGATCGCGAACACGTCATATTCCCCTCGCTATGCCTTTTTATCTTGAAAATTTGTACCGAAATCAAAACTTCCCGCGGAAAATCGATATTTCTCGTACAAAATTTGTAATTTGTACGCGAAAAATCTTTCTGCACTCTATGATGCAAAATCTCCATACGAAACATGGTTCGTATGAAAGCCAGTCACGGGTTCTCCTTGCCGAAAAATCGTATGGAGCACGCCTAAAAAAAATCCGTAGCGCCCATACGGACTTTGGCATGAAAAATCGTACCCCGGAACCTCTCTTTGTAACTCGTTTCCATTTGTTTTCTTCTATTTTAATTACATTTATGGGCTCAGTATCCGAGTTTAATAAATCATGTGCTCCTGTCAATGTTTTCTGCCTTCCCCAGACGGATGTGTCAACGTCAGTGCAGAACGCATTTGTGTTGTGCAATGCAGCTTTGCAATTGCAGCAGGTGGTGCATGGTGGTAGGAGGTAGGATAGTCCAACAGAGTTGATCGTGCAAAGATCAAATCTCATTCACTCTCCGGGTGCGTAGCTGTCGGTGCAAGAAAGCTGATTTGCGCATCACGCTGTGTGGGTCACACGGACGGCGCACAGCAGAAACAAATCTACCAACTGCCGCTTTCTCTTGCTGGTTGTGCCGCAGCATGAATCAAGCAGTTGTGAAATGTTCTTCCTCTTGTCCTCTCCTCAGCAAATCAATGTATATTCTGAGTTAGCCTCTGGCGTGGCAGGCTGTATCACTCTGCTCTTGTGGTTTCTTTATCACGACCAACCCCCCCCCCCCCCTCTCTCCTCACTGTCTCTTTCTCCCACTGTGTCTGTGTGTCTGTCTGTGTGTCTGTCTAGCGCTCTCTCTCTCTCTCTCTCTCTCTCCTCTCTCTCTCTCTCTC